CCTCAAAGCCAACGCTGATTGGACGTTCGTTTGGTGAACGGCTCCAAATTTTCTTTAACGGAGTCTCCAGACTGATCTGCGAGTGAAATCTTGAAAGCTCGCGAGATCAGGATGGTCTCACGAGGCTAGCATGAACTTGCTCTAAATGCCAATATTGCTTTATAAAGGTTTTCTGCTTTACCATGATATAGATTTTAGAGACTGAGGTGGAAAAGCTTGTAGGAACATGAGAAAAAGATTGAAAATGATCCTTTTTTGTAACTGATGTCATCAATTTTTCAGGTGTTCATTGAGCCCTGCTTTAAAATCCCCTTTTTTCCTAGATGAGCGTCCAAGAGTATGAACTGCTTAAAGAAGAGGATGAAGGATGTCTGAAGAAATACAGGAGACGATGCATGGAAGAGATGCACAGCAAGCTCAGCTTTGGGCCCAGGTTTGAAGGTGTGCATGACCTGGACAGTGGCGAGGCCTTCCTCGAAGTCATCGAGAAGGAGCATCACAGCACAGTGGTGGTCGTTCACATTTACAAGATTGGGGTGAAAGGATGCGAGCAGCTCAATAGCTGCCTGGACTGCTTGGCCACAGAGTATCCCACTGTCAAGTTCTGCAGGATTGATGCCGTCTCATCCGGTGCTGCCGAGCGTTTTTCGGATGAGTATTTACCTACGCTGCTGGTGTACAAGGCCGGGGAGCTCATAGGAAACTTCCTGTCCTGCACACAGCATATGAACGAGGAGTTCTTTGCTACCGATGTTGAAGCTTTCCTCAACAGTTACGGTCTGCTCCCAGAAAAAGAGCTGCCTGGGGTGGAGGATGAAGAAGAAAATGATGTAGAATAAAAAAGAAGGAGGAAATCATCTACAACAAGAGGTTCGGAAAACTAAATAAATCGGTATATAAATGAAATATCCAACTTTTATTTTTGACTTCGACAAAGAGAAGATACAAATATTTTCCTCTATAACACTAGTGTTGGATTATTTCTTGAATATATATTTTATGCATATGTACAGGTTTTGAAAAACGTTTGATACTTGGATAAAGGATTTGCTAAATAATGATCAGAAAACACTGCATTCCTCATTATCAGCTTAAAAAAAGCCAAAACAGGATAACTGTAAAGATAAACACATTAGTGGGTTTTTTTTTTTTTTTTTTGCTGTTTGCTTTTCATTTTAAGGAGATATTTAATGCTGTCGATTCATTCTCAGTATTTTTTTTTTAGATTTGAAAGTATGGATGTATACTCTGGAAATGTTCACCCATGAGCTATTCCTCTTGTAATGTGACATATTACACACTTGTCCTGTATAGTATTTGGTTTGTATGTTTTTTCTGATGAATAAATTAATGGTAATAAAAACCTTGAAGCCCTTGAATTAATAAAAAGGTTTTACAGTGTTTAAAGTCTACAATAACAATTAAATATGACTAAATAGTCTATGCTTGTGTACAGTGCACACTGTAGCCACAGCTGCTGACTGTAGAACTGCAGAGTTGCAGAAGTGATGCTGCCAAACAATCAGCACCACCAGCAGAGGTAAGTAGAGATCCCAAAAATGGTACTCTAGCAAGAGTAACACTACTTGATCATATTTTTTACTCAATTAAGAATAAAAGGTAGCCATTTAGATTCGATTCAATTCAATTCAGTTTATTTCTATAGCGCCAATTTACAACACATTTCATGTCAAGGCACTTTAAAGTTCTCCAGATCATCCAGTCAGATTGATTCAAAGTTTTCTATCCAAGGAATACCAGTTGATTGCATCGACGCATTGACTCGAATGCAATCCCTCAAACTAAGCATGCTCGTAGTGACAGTGGAGAGTAAAAACTCCCTTTTAACAAGAAGAAACTTCCAGCAGAATAAGGCTCATTGTGAGCGGCCATCTGCTGAGGCCGACTGGGGTTAAATTTAAGAAATAACTTTAGTAAAAAGCATTTGGCAAAAAAGGCTATTTAAGTACTGAGTTACTCATAACATCTGCTATCTGAAATTATCTAATAGAGAACAACCAAAATGTAAAGTTACGTGCAAATTCTAGTATTCTTAAATAATTAAAATAACCAAATAATCAAAAAGTAAAAATACTAGGCCAAACCCAACTTCATTCTAAAATATAATTTCTGAAACCAGTACCTTCAGTGACAATATTTACTCCTTATTGGATATTAGCTAAAGCTAATGTCACAGAGTTTAACTAAGCTTGCGTTCAGAAAAAACATCTATTTTCTACAGTAACATGAACCATTTCCTTGTCTGAAGCACTTCTTGTATGTTATTCGAGTTGGTTATTCACACTGGATGGAGTAGCAAAATATTTTACTCAAGTAAGAATAGCCATATCTAATTAAGGTATCACTCAAGTAAAAGTGAAAACTATGGTGATAAAAACTACTGCTAAAAGTATTTTTTTTTGTCAGAAAGTTATTGAAGTATGTAACTAGTTACCACCTCTTACTACTAACAGTAGGTGAGGCGGGAGAAGTGTGCTGCTTAAGGACTGAGACGGACAGAGTGGAAGCTTGAACACTTTAACCCATTGGCTACAGGATGAACGCCTACCTCCGAGTCCCATTAAGCCAATATTATTCAATGCAATTCAATTTCCTTTATGTGAATTATACAGTCA